TGTAATGTGAAATTTTTAGCTCACGAAAGAACATTAGAAACTGATGTCTTATTTGGATTATTAAAAGAAACTCATCGATAAAGCACGATAGTTAAAGTATTTATCCCTACACCAATCACGACTATAACCACTATCTCGATATCTTTCAAAAATGTTCAATAGCATCATGTGATCACCTGAAGGATGATAGAACTCTCTTCTTTTTTCATCAGCATCCATTTGTTTTTCAGCATTCCTCGGAGATACGAATATTTCTTCAACCGAAAGCATTGCCACTATTATTACAACCTCTCGACTACATTCATATTTCCTTGAGCTCGCGATTAAAACCCTAGATAGAAAGGGACTCAATGGAAAAATCGACATTTCATTACCCAAAGTAGTAAGCTTTCCAGAATCGTCTATAGCTTCTAGCAAAAAGAGTTGTTTTAAAGCATTTTTTACCATAGCCGGATCAGGCGGATCAATAAATTCAAAGTTGATAATATCATTGATCCCCATTTTCTTTAAACTAAGTACAGTACCCAGTAAGCTACTTCTTTGTATCTCTGGTACGGTATCTTCTTCCATTTGTTCAAAAGACTCCCGACTATAAAGTCTAAAAGCTTGACCCGAAGCTGTTCGACCAGCACGGCCAGCCCTTTGCGTAGCGGCAGCTCGAGAAATCGGCACCACTAAAAGGGCATCCATTCCAGTAGCCGGATCGTAAGTTTTTTGTTTCACAAATCCAGAATCAACAACATATCTTAAATTTGATGGTTTCATGTAAAGGTAGAAGAAAAATTTAGTCATTTAAACAAATATACAAACAAAAGATACATATTAAAGTAATTACTTGATACCAGGTATTGTTACAGAAGTCTAAAAGAATGATAGTATAATTAATGAGATTCAAATTTATAATTAAATAAACTAAAAAGAAATAAAATAATTTATTACCTGAGCAATATTAGTTGCAAATACAATCTTTCTAGTATATCGAGGAGGATCATCAAATATAGACTTCTGTTCCATAGTTTCTAAGGTAGCATAAATAGGGTATATCACCAAGCCTCTTACATCTTCAAAATATTTTACGTCAGTTTTATAATTTAGGTCTCGATCCAGATCTTCAAGGTCTCTACAAGCCTTCTCTATTTCATTCTGGCCGGTCAAAAATACCAAAATATCGCCTGGAGGTTCTTGAGTATGAATGTATCGAGCGGTCTCTACGGAACGTTGAACATAAGTCGATTTAAGACTAGAGATCTTTGCATCGCGATGATGATTAATTGCCACATCATATGTTCTCCCAGGAATGATAAATATCGGGCAGCTGTTAAAAAAATCCGAAAATTTTTCTACATTAAGGGTTGCAGACATTACGAGAATCTTTAACTCCGGACGTAACCGATGAGTTTCTTTTAATAATCCAAATAAGACATCAGTTTCTAATGTTCTTTCGTGAGCTAAAAATTTCACATTACA